AAAAACCCCAAATATTTCAGATTTCTTATGGACTAAAAAATATAAACTATCTCATTAATGTTTTATATTGATTACACATTGAAATGATAACTTTTATTATGATGCAGCTGTACATTTGAACACTATACAGCTGCTAATCAGAGAGAGAGAGTTTTGTTTTTTTTTTTGGTACCGGGGATCAAACTCCTGACCTTGCGCTTTCAAAGGCAGGCGGTGGAACCACTGAGCTAAATCCCCGGCTTGTTGTCACTTTTAAAACACAACTTCTAGAACATTTAAATTATATATGCAGTTGATGACTGTATTTCTATTGGACAGCATTGGTCTAGGGAATCAGTAAAAATAAGCCAGTGTCAGGTAATGCTTGGGGTCTCCATTTCACCACTTGGGTGTGGCATCACCATTGATCCTCTGACGAATTCCACTTCTTGTTCCATGTGGACTTAGGTAGGAATGAGCTTTTGTATTAATTCCAGAGACTCTTCTTTTTCCTGCAGTGATTGCTTGGTGTCCAGGACTGAATACAGACTTCACAATGGTCCTGCTGTTTCTAGATTGAAACACTGAGGATCAGGAGGTTTGCCTCGTCTAGCCGTCAGCAGGATGGCATGTTATCCTCCTCAGCCCTCTGTGTTTCTTGGAGACACTTGGATCTCCCAGCACAGTCTGAGCAGTTTCGAGAGGCCCTGCTTTCTTCAGTGAGAAGAGGAAAGTTTCGGGGTGAGCACTGTCTGCAAACAGCTCCTTGGTGACGAGGCCATTGGTGGCCAAGACTTTGTGCTTCTTCAGTCATCTATAGTGGCTGTCACTGCCTGAGATTTTTGTTTAATTATTTAAACAACATAAACAACAATTTTATGCATTTCTCATTTGCTTGTTTAAAATCCCTAAAAAGCCTTAACCTTGGCCCCAGTGCTCCGGATGAGGAATCTGAGACTCGGAAAAGCCGATCGCCTGTCTCAGGTCATGCCATTGGACTTCTGCTTCCTAGCGCAGTACTCTGGACTGCATTCCCCGCCTTTGCTGTTTTCCTGGGAAAGAAGTAGCTCTGAAAGCTAAATGGACAAAGCCAGGCAGTCTGCACTGTGGAAAGTGACGTGTACAGGCCACACCCCCAGATTTGCTCTGCACTTGTCTCAAGGCACCAAATATTTGACTTCTGTGCAAATAGTGCCAAGGTAAATTAGGCGGAACCAGAAACAGGAACTGGTATGTACACCTATGCAGCAGTAGCAATTTCAGATGTTTGAGTTTCATTATCTGTGCGATAGAACATGGACTGTTTGTCTGGGCTGGACAAACAGTCCATCCTGGCAGACGAAGTGGCCCGAGTATGACTCACTCCCAGCAGCACTCTCGCCTCCACAGGACTTCCACTCTGGGGAGAGATGTACTCTGCCGGGCACGCCCTGGCTTTTGGACCAGGATATTCACTTAAGCTTCAGTCATACAATCCCTTTCCTTCAAGCCTGGTAGCTTTCTATATTTCTATTCCAAGTTCTCAGGCTTGGTTTCCAAAGGTCTTCCTAATTGACCCGTCTCAGTCACCCAACCTTGTCCTGCATCGCTCCAGCAGAACCCTTTCGCTGTAGGGAAATGGGGCTTCCTACTGTCCTGTACACAACACTTTCTGCTGTGCCTTTTCCTAAGCTATTTTCTTCATTTGCCCTCTCCTCTCTATTTTTTAGACTCTAACTCCTGTGTATTCATGAAAGCCTAGCTCAAATTTTACCACCCATCCTCGCTTTCCTCTTTAACTCTTCAATGTATAGGACTTGGAGCAAAACACATTTCAGCACTGACCGGGTGGCAGGATAGTCCTCCCCCCATGCCCCCAATTTTACTCATGAGGTAACTGGCGATAGCAAGACACCTGTTTATCTTCTAGCAGCTCCCCTCTGAAGGTTATGATGAGAATGTAGAGTTACCTGTCATCCTCAGGACAGAGCCAACGTGTGAGGGTGAGCCGTCTCCTAGACACTGGTACAAAAGCCAAAACTCTGGGAGGAGGGCAGGAAGACAGAAGACCTCAGGATACCCACAGGAAACAACACTGCAGGTTAGCCTGACAGAGAAATGTGTTTCTTGTCACTTTCTCTCTTTATTATGACCAATTGTAGTGTTTTTTATTTTTACTAAGACTACTAGGATTTACTTACAACTCTTCAGTTACCCTTAAAGACAGTGGAATCTGATCTCTTTGGGCTAATATTATAAATTTCCCCCACGTGCTTCCACGCATGTGCTTGCTGTCACTCAGCAGATCTGAAGGAGGCCCCCACAGATGTCTGGAATTCCCCCCGACACACACACACACACACACACACACACACACACACAGAGCTCTTCCCTTGCCTATACTCTGCTCTGTGAATTCTACTTGTTGGCTACCCCAACTTTACAGCCCGCCTCTGGTTCAGGGCGACTTCCTGTTGCTTCCGTCCCTGGCTGTGACCTGCGGACTCCGAGTGAGTGGGACACGGATCGCACCCATCTCCCCCGCTGGGCTTCATCCAGGGACCCTGCTCCTCCGGCTCACTGTCCAGCGTCTGAACACTATCCCGTATGTATTCCGTCTGCTTCAGATGTTTAATGGGGGAGGGTAAATCTGTTCGAGGTCCTCAGCAACCCTTCCGCAGACTGTTCCTCTGCTGATGGCCGGGAGGTTCTCCTGGGACTCCAGGGCTGAACCTCCCTAGGCTCCTGGATGGCACCAAGGCCAACTCGCAAGGGCTCTGTGATGCTCTCTCCCGCTTGTTTCAGGTGCATCCGCTCACTTTCTGTCGCGCTCAGATCTAGAATGTCCCAGAGGCCTCTTGTGTTCTGGGCGGGGCTTTTAAAGAGGATTGGACCCCGGGGAGACACAGCCCTCGGGCTACTGGAGGCGGGGTCTGGTGGGTAGGGCCGGGCCGCTGGGGCGTGGCCTGACCGGTGCTTCTCACTCCCACTTCTTCCCTTCTCTGGAGCTCGACCCCAAGCCTGAGCAGCTTTCGACCCCAAGCCTGAGCAGCTTTCCTCCCCGAGCCCCTGTGCTGCGCTGCTTATGCCCTGGAGCTGGAGCACAGACTGTAACCTCGAGCCAAAGCGAACCTCGCCTCGGTTACTTTACAAGTGTTAGGTATTGTGTGCCTTGTGTGCCTTCGAGGACAAGGCAACAAAGACACCTTCTCGCTCAGACTTCCAATTCCCTGAGGTCTGCAACCCTCCCTATCCTATATTTCTATGTCCTCACCACCCTACATAGACACATTTACTTTTGACTATGACCCAGCCTTTATCCAGGAAAAATCCCACTTGAGGTGTTAACAAATGACACACTTGGGATAAGAGTTTAGATTAAGTAGCATATGCCTATAATCTCAGCACATAGGAGGCTGAGGTAGGAGGAGCCACTGCAAGTTTGAAGCCCACTTGGGCTACATGGTGAGTTCAAGGCCACACTAGACTACACAGCAGGACCTTGTCTCAAAAAAACAAAAAACAAGAGTTTAGGTTAAGCAACAGTGTCTCATCTTCAAATGTTATGAGCAAAAATGAATGATGAGTCATCCACTGGATTAGCATCTGCTGCTAGGAAGAACTACCACTGCCACCTCATGATGCTCAGTGGAGAAATGATTTCTCAGTATCCACCGGACCGTTTACTATCTCTTTAAGGCAAAAATTTTTGAAAGAATGCAGCCAAATCAAAACCTACTAAACTCTACAGATTGAGCAGCCCGTTCTTCAGCCCTAACACAGAAGGACCTCTAAGGCCGACTCAGTGTAGACATCAGCACAGTAATAATCAATCAGGTCACTTTGCTGTTTCGCTTTTTCCACTCATCAGTCTTCTCCAGTTCTATTCTAAATGGAAGTAGGAAACATTAAAAGTACTTTTCACGTGCTTTAATATTCTGGTAGTGCAGGAAAAAAGCACAGTGGGACTTCCCTACCCTCCACTGAAGAGCATTCTTGTTCAACACCAGGGGCATGTGGGCTGTTCCCAGTGTTGGGGCTGCCACCGCTGAGGGGAGCACATTCCACACCTTTCTCCTGGTGTTTCCTCAGGTGCTGTTTACATCTGGGGTCTTGGCTTGGCCTAACAGTGTGACGGACTGATAGCATGTGAGGAGCCAGTTCATCCAACAGTCACTTGTCAGGTACCTGGCCCACTGCAGACATCCCATGTCCTGGTGTGACAGCAGTGGACATGACAACACGCCCTGTGCTGTGGGGCTTGCATCTGCGTTAGGGTGCAAGCTGTCAGTTGGGTAAACAAATGCAAGGCAGGCGGTGAGTGCTCTGAAAGCAATCAAATGGGTGTGGGCCCTGCTCCTGGGAAGCACTCCTGTTATGCAGGGTGTCTGGGGAAGGGCTCTGCCATGTGACGTGCCACTGTCCCCTGTCGTAGAGACTTGGCGACATGGGGACACTAAGGCAAGAAGACTGCTTGGAGAATTACTCGAAGTTTTGGGAAAGTTGTAAGTGTGAAGGCACAGAGGCAGGTGTGGCTTGGTGAATCTGAACTAACAGAGCCAGGGCAGCTTGCCAGGAAGTGGCTAAGGGATGAGAGTGGTCAGACTAAATGAGACAGTGTGGTCCACAAGAAAGTCACTGCATTCAGGGGCAAAGGGAAGCCCCAGGAAGGCTTTGGTCGAGGAGACACAAGATCAAATTCACATTTAAAAATATCCCTGGCTGGAACCGGGACAACAGATACTGGGCAGGTGGGGGTGGAAGCAGAGCAATGTTTAGACCCCGAGCTGGGAGGTGGCTTTGGCTTCCTCACGGGCACTGCAGGGAAGGCAAGCATCGCGGATTTCAGGTGCTTATACTGAGGGAAAGTCGGGCTGAAAAAGAAAAGAGTGCAAGCTGTATAATTCCATTCGTGTCAAATTTTAGAAAATGCAAACCAATCTAGAGTGACAGAGGGTTCCGCAGTCAGGGGAGCGGGAGAGGTTACAGAGAAGCAGGAGGACTCCTCAGAGTCTCAGAGGTGTGACGGTGTGTCCAGGGTTGTCGGATTGCACACTTTAAACGTGCAGTGTGCTGTGGGCCATCACGTCTCAATACAGCTGTGGAATGAACGCATTTCGGACCGGGGTGAGAGGAACGAAGTTGGACTGGTCAGTAAGTTCTGCGCTTGGACCCCCGGGCCAGAGCCATTAAAGTGTCTTTCCTATTGATCTCTGAGGTCAGGAGGGCTGGACGGTAGGGTTTGAGAGAAAACGCAGTGTGGTTTCCAGCCTACGCAGTAAGTTAGAGATGCCTGCCAGTCACGCCCAAGCCTGCGACACACCCACGCACACTAGACGCGCAGGACGGCGGAGCCCGCGTGCCCTGGCCTCAGAGCTGGGCCAGGGGACGGCTCGGCCAGCACCGTCCGTCCCCTTCTGGGCGCAGCACTGCGGACCGCGTGTTTTCGCTGGCTTTGGGAGTCGGGTCAGTGTGAGAAGCCAGGTGGAAGGCTTGCTGCTGAGGGTAAGAATAACCAGACACAGGCGCGGGGGAGCCCTGGCCACAGACAAATGCCACCTGCCTCGGCTAAATAATGATAACGATAATGATAATGGTAGGTCCGACTTACGGGCAACTCAGCTTCATGATGGCTTAAGCCAGATGTTCTCTCCTAGTCAGAGAAAAGCAGATGCGCTTGCTGCTGGACGGCAGCTCCGCAGTGCGGCAGAGAGACGCGGCTGGAGGCTCAGTGCCCGCCCCGCCCCGCAGGCCGCGTCCTCCCGGGCCGCGTGGGAAGCTCCGCCGCCCGCCTGACACCCGTCCCTCGCCCCGAGCCGGGGTCTCCGCCGAGGCAGGGCTGGGGCGCCGTCGGCCTCGCTCGTCCGTCCGTCCGCCGCCCGGCCCGCGGAGCCAGCGAGTCCCGCGAGGAAGCTCGGCCGGGTGCGGCGGCGTCGGGCGGGCGGGCGGGCGGGGCGACGCGCGCGGTCGTCATGGCAGCGGGGGCGGGGCGTCGCTACGCAGCTGACGTGGCCCCAACCCCCGGCAACGCGGGCGGGATCGCAACATGGCTGCGGGGCGAGCGCTGCAGCTGTCCCTGCTGCTGTCGCTGCTGCTGTCCGGGCCGCCCGGTCGGGTGAGGGGACAGCGGTCTCAGGACCGCGGCCGCCGCTTCTCGGACTTCAAGAGCTGCGGTGATCCCGAGTGCAGCAGTGAGTGCGGGGCCGCCGGGCCGGGGCGTCGCGGGGGTCAGGGGCGACGAGGGATCGCGGGCCCATGGTGGTCGGGGGAGCCATGAGGGATCGCGGGCCCATGGGGGTCAAGGGGAGCCCTGAGGGGTCCGGGGGCCGTGGGGAGTCATGGGGTACCCAGGGATCGCCGGGGATCGCGGGAGGGAGGGCGGGCGGGCGGGGAAACATGGGGGACTGGGATCGAGGGAGGCCAGGGTTGGGGCGGTTGGGGGATCACGGTGTGCCCGGGGGTCGCAGGCGGGGGTCCCTGGCCCGTGTCCCCCACCCCCACCCGGTCTCCCGGGCTACGAGCCCACTTGTTGTGGACATTGTTTTCCTCCGCCGCTGAGGCGCCCTGAGGGCTCGGGTTCCAGTGACAGCAGGGCCCCTTCCACCCGCCTCACTGGGTGGGTGGCGCCTGCCCAGGGCAATGTGGGGGTGCGGGCCCCTCCCCCTAGCTGCCCTTGGGAACTGGGGTGTGTTTTCTTTCGACCCCCAGGCCTCGTGTAAGGATCTGAACGAGGCCAGAATCTTGGCGCGGTGTGTTCTGAGCGCCCGGCTCTGAGGCCCGCGGAGGCCTGGGGGGGGCGGGGCGGGGGGCGGCGGAGATCCTCCTGCTCGGAGGGAGAGGGTTGTTAGGCCATCGTCGCAGCCCCTCCGGGGGCTGGAGCCCAGCCAGCCGAGGCCTTGGGGCTGGTGTTGCTGGAACCTCGCCCTGGGTTCGCTGGCCCAGGGAGGCCGGGCCTCAGGAGCCCTTAACTCACCGACAGTGATGTTCATAAATTCATATAGACTGTCCATGTGCAAAGGGCGAGAAACCTGCAGGGTAGCTTTTATATTCAAACTGATGTTACCAAAAACAAATGTCATAATCTGAAAGTTTGTATCCCCACAATACCATGAAGGAGCAGGACAGTCAGCACAGTACAGCACAGTAAGGCTAATTCACGGTAGCTATTCCCGGAGGAGACCCGAGGGCAGATCCCCGAGGCTGCCACGCTGGCCCTGAAGCTTTTTGGAGAAAGCCAGCTGCTCGCTGTCCTGCAGAGTTTGCACTGCTCGCTGCCCAGCGGTGTCCCACCTGGCTCCTCACAGGAAGTCACCTTGAAGACCACAGCCTGAGCCTCCTCAGGCCCAGACAGCTGCTGGGGGACACAGGGTGTGACAGAGCCTGAGGGCCCTCTATGCAGACAGGCACAGCAGGCACGGGAGCAGGCCTGGCTGGCCATGCTGCCCTCTGATATGTTACTGCAAGTCCCCGGACCCAAGGGGCCAAGAGAAACACTGCCCTTTCGCATTCTGGTAGAACCCCAGCCTTGATCTGCCCCAACCCCTTCAGCCTGGCCCCCTACTCAGATGTGAATTAAGATGCCAACATATCGCAAAATTACCACATTGAAGCTTCTAAAAACAAACTACCCCCTCCAAATCCGCACATTTGTTCCTTGAGTACATATTTTAATACTGAATAATACTGAGTACATTATATAAAATTGGCTTTTAGAAAATGTGTTGTTTCCATTTCTACCTTGTTTCTGCCATCTAGGTACATTTAATGTCCATTTCATCCCACATCAGAAGATGACATGTACTTTGTCAACAAAAGGAAAAATACTACTTCTCCCAGTTTCTAGATCACATTATAAGGATGGTAGCTATTAACTTATTCTTATAGTTTGGCATTGTCCCTGCCAAATGAAATGTCCATTTTTTAATTTAGCATATAGAAAAATATAAATAAGGGTAGGATTTCTTTTCTTTTAAAGGCTTCCTGATGTTGAGTACAATCAACATTATTTGCTTTGAGTAAACATTGCCTGCTGTTGGGACAGGATTCATAAGAAGTCACTTTCTCTTCCTAGTTAAGCTACGCAGATCCTGTATGTTAACTTACCCAGATCCTGTTCTGAGACAACAGCTTGGCTGCAAACACAACTGCCTGTGTTTACTGGTTCTGGGAGCAGGCGCAGAGCTTAAAGGCAGGGCCTGCTGGTGGGAGCTCGTGCTAATTGACCCCTTGGGGCTGCAGATGTTCTTCCAGTTTGCATTACCTCTACCTGTGCCGAGCTCCATCCAGTCAGTGTCTGCACAGCCATACACACATTTCCAAGTGAAGCTTTTTGTGGTTATGAAGCAGAAGAATCAGGCCTAGCGCGGAAGAGAGGAAACCAAGAGTTTGTTCCCGCCCTGTGTAGTGGGAGACGAGGCTTTTGATTCTTGGCAGCAGCCAGAGGGAAAGACAGACACTTTCCCCTCCCTTGTCTAATTGCAGGGATGTTGTGGCTCACAGCAGTAAGGTTCTAAGGATTTCATAGACTTTGAGCCTGCGCACTGGAAGCAATCGCAGAGTATGGGAAACCCTCAATTGTCGTTTACAGTGAGATTCTTACACTTCCTGATAAATCCGCATGCACTGTGAAGGTTGAATTCTAACATATGTTGTTTTTTCTTTTCTATCCTTATAATAGTGTTAATGTGCTGGGGTAAAGCTGTTGGAGATTTCACAGGCCCGGATTGTCGCTTTGTGAATTTTAAAAAAGGTGACTCTATACATGTCTACTATAAACTGGTAGGGGGATCGCCTGAACTTTGGGCTGGAAACGTAAGTAAAGTTTTGACACATTTTATTTTCTTACTTTGATAGAGTCGTCGAGCACTGTAGATTTAAGCGACAGTGTTCCTGGGGTCTTTGAGTGAGCCCACTGACTCAGCCAGACTGAAAACAGAACACGGCCCTGTGTTCCCAGGGGCCTGGGCCTGGCCCAGCACAGGGCTCAGCAGAGGTTTCCGAAACAGAATAGAACCAATTCTGGCTATCACCCTTCAGGATCAAGTTTTGGGGTGCTGCAGACAAAAGAGAGGTTGAAATGGTGAAAAGTCTTAGCTTCATTGCTTCCTTCAAAAAAGGATTCACAGCAGTAGACGTAATCCTGTAAGCTGTGACGTAGCGGCTCGAGCATGCATGCCCTAAGCTGACTTTCTGTGCCTTCCTTCTTCTGTGTCATTACTGTCTGTAAAAGGCATCAGCTCTAGGAGCAGTTACCTAGTCATCTGTGCTGTCACTACTCTGTAAGAAAGCAAAGTATTGTGTCCGTGTGCTTCCCTGTCTGCTTTTTATTACAATTCTGGTCACCTTTTGCTCTTCTTTCAGCCACTTCCCGCCTGTGGGGCCTCCCGGGAGTGCTGTCCCAGCCAGTTTAATGGGTGTGCTGCTATCAGACATGGCAGCTGGTGACCCCATGGTGCTTTAATGAGGGGATTCACTAGGAGTGACCTGGTTGAGTCTTACACGACTTGGCCACTCCATTTTACAAAGTGTGATATGGGGACTATTTCCGCTAGTAGCAAGGGTGCTTGACAGCCTTGGGATGGTTCGAACTTAGAGAGATTATCCCAACTGTGAAAGTTCTCACCCTCAGTAAAACGCCAAACAAGCAGCAGAAAATAAAGCTGGAAAAGCCCCACAATAAAAATAGGTTCACAGCAGAGTCCTTGGGAAGAATCTTGACTTGTCAAGTGGTCAGGCACAGCCATTTTTCAGACAGGTGTCCTGATAATTTGATTCTGGGAACTGTTTTTCTATTCACTGACACTGCATTTTTCATTTAGCAGTTAGTATGTTTCTCCCCTCTTCATCCTTGAGCTTTTGGGTATAGGAGCCGGACTTGCATTTTCCTCCTGCCATGGTTAGGCCCATGACCGCGTGCACCTCTGGAAACCCTCTTTCTGGGGTGCAGCACTGGTCCTGCCTTCTCTCGGAAGCCTGCTTGCCCACAGGCCCCGCCTGGGGGCCCCTGTGCCATGGTCACCCGCCAAGTGCTGGCTGAGCCACTCACGCCCCGTCGCCTTCTCAGTGTTTCCTTCCTTACGTTTGCTCTGAGAGGAGTGCACATGAGTCTGTCCTCTCCTCTGGAAGCAGCAGCAGAGCACCCGCCCCCAGTCAGAGCAGCAGGGCCTTGGCAGGGATGTGCATGGAGGCAAAATTAGACATCAGATCCTTCCGTCACAAGCTCCCAGGATTCTGCACCATTTTTTTTTTTGTCAGATTGTAAGAAATGGGATACCAGCTCATGTAAAACCAGGAAGCTTTAGATAACCTGAGGCCTCGGATGGCAAAGATTAAGCTAAGATAGATGTTTTCCTTTCTCCATGTATCTCTGGTTTGTTGCCCTTTTCCAGATTCAGCCTTAATAGAATTTTCCCCAGAAGGAAGGAGAGTCACTCCCCTCAGGCTCTCCCCTCATCTTGTGCTCCGTATCCTTGGGAAATGATTGTTTCTCACTTCTGTTTCTTAGTTTTTATTCTGCAGTCTTTTTGGGTTTCCTGTAGTGCCGGACTTGTCTGCCAGTAAGGCAGCTTTTAAGTACCCACCTTGTCTAATCTTTAGGCAGTGTTCTACTACTAATGCTGGCTTTCAGATGGGTTCCACAGCAGGACCACTCTCCGAATATTTTAGGGTCAGAGATAAGGGTCCTTTGCTTCTTTCACTGTATTTGGTTTGCATATTGGTCTTCTTTAATGATGGGGAAAAGCCTGTGGCTCCCTCTCAGGCCACAGCTGGTACAAGACAGAGTGTTTCTCAGGGCCTCTTTCTGCTCATCTGCTCCATAGCTCACCTGTTGATGTGGAAAATGAATGGGATTCTGTTCTCTACAAGATTTATTTTGCATGAAACTGAAGCTTGGCATGTAGATAAGTATGCGTTACATTGTAATTTTATGTTCTCCCCATTTACTTGTAGTTTCTTAAAAAGCTGGGATAGTACATAATATCAGTATATGCCATTTGATGTAGTGGTCGTATATTTCAAAAGTTCTCTTTTTACTTGTTAGTCTTCCTAGCTGTTGTTGTTGATTTAGGAAAGATTTACATGCTGGTTTATGAGCAGTGCTGTGAAATGTTCAGGTAAATTCCTTTTAGAGGTTATTTGGGGCTGTGTTTCTGACGAGCTTTGATTCACATAGTTTTAGTCATGTAATATACGGTCATCTCTTATGCAAAGCTTTTATTTTCTTCTAAAATCTAACTTTATGTGTTCTGTGATTAAAATTAAGCTGAATATAGAAAAAACTACAAAGATTTAGAACTGTTGGCTTAACAGTATTCTGCACTTAATTTTATTGACATACAGTCCCAGTGTAATAATAATAGCAAGTGTCTGTCTCTTTTGGTTATATCTACCTATCTGCTTATTTCCTGACACTGCTAAGAAGTGTCTCATTTATATTCCTCACACAGAATTTGATTGACATCTGTCCCTGTTGCCCATTTTTTCATACAGGTTGGATTTTTTTTTGGATATTTCCCAAAGGATTTAGTCAAGATAGAACAAGTATATGCCAAAGAGGAACTACAAGTCCCAGCAGATGTAAGTTGTGGATTTCTATTTTGTTCTCAATTATAAATTGGCTTATATATTTATTAGTTATATATTCAGTTAATTGTTTTTGCGAGTCTTTGTTTTAATTGGGGAAGAAAACAATCTAATATTTATATATCGGATCTTAATTTGGAATCAGGCTACCTGCAAAATGAGCAAAGTTTGAAAAGCATTTACACAAGATCATATCATAATCTGCTTGTTAGCAATACATGAAGCAAATGTTCAGATAGCAGGCTGGATAGCCATAGACAGAGCTTTTCTTTGCTGTCTTATGTGTGTGACAAGTTAAGAACTTAATATCTTTGTGCCCAGTTATTAAATTTAAGAGGTAGATAATTTCATTTCACAAATACAAGGAGTAGGTATCCCAATTTGAAAACTACCATTGAACACTATTAGACATTTGTAGTATAGTGGAGATAGGGATAAATTAATCAAACTCTAATTTATGTACTGGGATAGAAGTGCAGACTTACAAGTGGCTTCTTCCTGTTGGACACTGATGTAAGGGACCTTGCTGGGTTACAGATCGGGCGGAGGGAACCTGTGGAGCCAGTCTCAGCCCTGTGTGATGGTGACCGGGCACCGACAGCACACTTGGTGCTCCCATCTGTGGCCCTGACTTCACGGGATTCTGTGTCTGGAATCCCCATTCCAGCCGATTATTTTCTGGAGGTTGAGGTTTTCCAGTGATTGGTGTCCACCCTCCCTGAGCCAGTTTTGGGCAGCTCCTCGTGTGGCTGCCAAGCACTTGAGCTGTGGGCAAGGACAGCTCCTAGATGAAACAGGCTGCAGAGTAGATAGAGTGAGAGCTGTTTCCAGTCTCAGAATTTTGTGACGATCTCGGAGGCATAAGAGCACTCTTCTTGCCTGCGGGCTTCGCTGTCAGTAAGAGGTGGCCAGGGCCTCAAGTGTGAGCCCCCCGGCCACAGGGGCCTCACCCGCTTGGACGCTACCTTCGCTTCCCCATGACACTTCCCTTCAGCACGCGCAGGAGGGGAAGAGGAAGTGACCTCCGGTGCTGCCCTGGACAGGCTCCCCAGGGCACCGGGAAGGCGTGCCAAGGAGGTGGCAAGTGTTCCACTCAGTTGCTGCCAGCTTGCCTCCTGGTGGAGAAGAGGGAGAATACAGATGTGCAGATGGTCCTGAGGCCGACAGCCACCTGGAGCCCTGACGCAGAGTGAGGGTCATACTCGCTGAGTCTAGTGTTCACATAACCAAGTGGGAAGGCCTCAATGCCACTCTTTGTGCCTTTAAATTCCTACTTCCCATGCCCCGTTTCTCACCAAGATACTTACTAAGCCGGTCTGTCTTCTTGATGTCCAAGGAGAATCCCCACCAAGACCCATGGGGCTGAGCCCGACAGCAAGGTGCAGCTGCCTGTCTGTACTGGGAGCAGAGCAGCAGTGTTAGGGGCACAGGGTCTCACTGCTCCGGAGTGGGCTGATCGGAGGAGCCAGGGACCCAACAAATGACACCCCACTTTCTCCCATCTGGCTCAGACGGATAGAGAGTCCAGGAGTAAGGCAGGAGAAGACCAAGATGTTGCCATATTTTTTCATTGTGCTTTTTGGAAAACATGCCCCATGCTTTAGGAAAAAGTAAAAATAACAGGCTTTCTAGAACTGCAGTCTAGAATGAGGGAGATTTACCCAGCCGCAGACTGAGCTAGCTGCCGGGGGGCCCTACCCGAGGGACAGGCCCCTGTGAAACCGGTGGCAGGGAGGGCCGGAGAAGTTCCTTTCCCTGCAGCAGGTCCCAAACAGAAACTGTTGGGCCTGAGCCAAGTCACCAGCCATGTGAGTGGGCAGCTGCTCCCCGAGGACAGAAGGAAGGGAAGGAAGGGTGTGACTGGAGAGACAGTGGGTCCAGCCTCCTGCCGCCAACTGCCCAGGAAGAGCCACGGCCAGGGTCACCCCGAGTACCCCTAGCGCCGGGGGAGTGTGGGATTCTGTCTGTCATAGCACAGGTAAGAGCTGCTCTGCGACATCAGTCAGTCACACACTAATGTCTCCTTTTCCCTTCCAGGAGACAGACTTTGTCTGTTTTGATGGGAGAAATGATATGTTTGATAACTATAACGTAGAAGAACTCTTAGGGGTTTTGGAACCCTATAACTCTGGAACTGAAGATGCTGAGAAAGCGCCTCCACATGCAGAGCAGCCTCCGGAGGGCTCCGCGGGAAGCGAGCCCAAGGCCCACAGCAGCAGTGCCGCCGAGGGAGGCGGCCCGGAGCACCAGCCCCACGCTGACCCAGGTGCCCGGGCGGAGGCGCCATCCTCAGAGGCGCTGGAAGAAATGCTGCAGGGGAAGCTGAGGGCGCCGCAGAGCGAGGACAGCAGGGCCAGCACTTCTCAGGCCGCCTCCGCTGAGCAGAAGGTGGACACTTACAAGCTCCCGAAGGAGATGGCTCTAGGCTTGAAGACCAAGTTCGGCTCCACTGCCGATGCTATGGTGTCGGATGACGAGGCGACTGCGCTGGTGACCGCCCCGGAAGGTGCTCTGGACAAGGCGCCGGACGCCGAGGCCTGCTCGGAGGAGGAGGAGGAGGAGGAGGAGGAGGAGGAGGAGGGGAATGGAGGCGGCCTGGACGAGCTGCCGCTGCTGACCTTCAGCAGCGGGGAAGAGCCGAGCCGGGCAGCGGAGCCCGGGCTGGAGGAAGAGGACAGCACCGTGGCAGCTCGGCACCCCAGCATGGGAACCGGCCAGAACGGCATCCTGGCCACCTGGGGGAGCACTCTGTTCTCCATTGTCGCCTCCGGCCAGAGGGGCACGCAAGACTTGGAGGGCTCTCACTCAGAAGGAGCACAGGAAGGTGACCCCGAGAGCAGCGAACAGGGGAAGCCACAAGCTGTGGCAGATTATTTTGACTCTGAAAACTTAGATGATTTTTTTGTAGAAGTCTTTAAAACAAATGATGAAAATGACTCAGGAATGGACACAGAACCTGACAATAAGGAAAATGGCAGTGATGCTGAGGAACCAGAGTCCCCACTCGAGGCTGCCCGGCACGGAGGGACAGTTCCACACGGCTCTGCTGCGAGCCTGGGGCTGAGGCCCCTGCCGGCTGCCGGAAAGGGCAAGGACGCCCCTCAGCCAGCTTCTGAGAACAGAGACAGTGACCCGCAGGAAGCAGCTGTGGGCGATGCAGAAGACACACTCAGGGAGGGAAGACCTGGAGCCCAGACGTCGGCTGCCGGCCCAGAGAGCGGCTCTGCTCTGAACGGTGTGGGCAGTCGGGCGACTGAAGGGACTGAGGGGATGAGAGAGCAGGAATCCCCCGGCGCTGTGCCACCGCCCGGAGAGGATCTGCACACCTCGACCCCAGATGGTGTGCAGGTGGCTGGGGGTGCGGCCCCGGGGCCCAGCTTGCACCCTGGCCCAGCGCGGCACCAACTCGAAGAGCAGAGAGAGGAAACAGGCCTGACAGCCCCAGGCCACCCTCTGTTCCCTCCTCCAGATGGAGTGAGATTGGCAGGAAAACTGGAAGAGGAGGTCCCCCCTCTGGGAGATCGTTCCCGGCTGCAACAGAGAGATGCTGCCCTCAGGGAGCGAGCGACTGAAATGGAGTCAGCTCAGCACGAGGCAGAAGAGAGGGACCCAGCAGAGGAGAGGGAGCTGCCCGATGGTGCGGCTGCCCCAGGCTCCCATGCCCAAGAGACAGAGGGGGACGAGGAGAGGACGGAGGAGGAAGAGGAGCCAGAGGGCGACGAGGAGCTCCCAGAAGAGCTGCTGGAAGATGAAAATGCAGTCAGTGCTAAACAGTCTCAAGAAATTCACCCGGAAGTCGGGGATGGGAAGCCGCCTATTAACCCACGAGGTTCTGTAGGGGCGCAGTTAGGGACCATTCACCCCGATCCAGCAGCCGAAGAAAACCAGCAGGAACCTAACGTGATTCTTGTGATTGAAGACGAAAATGCTACTGCAGCAAGACAGGGAGATGGGCCAAGTAGGGGCCTGGGCAGCGCTGTGGTGGGGAGAGAGGACGGAGGTCCCCCGGCACCAGAGATCAGCGAGCCTGAGGGCAGGGAGAAGGCCCCCTCACCAGGCCCACGTGAGGCCCTGCAGAAGGAAGACTCGGTGGGGGTGTGGCCGGGCGGGGACAGCACAGGGCCTGTGGAGAGGCCTTCGGGGGAGCCCTCTGAGGAGGCCCAGAAGGCTGGGGACCCGAGGAGCCTGGGGCCCTTCCCTGCATACCCCATAGATGACCTGTCCCGGCAGAGTCCACTCGCTGCGCTAGGGGAAGACTGGCCCATCATCCTCAGCGTCTTCAAGGACCTGGAAGTCTTGGAGCGCTTCCTCAAGTACATGGATGTCCTCAAGCTGGAAGCTATGCTGCAGGACATGTCCCTGAAGCTGAAGGCGGCGCAGCAGGAGAGCCTGCCTTACAACGCAGACAAGGTGCTGGACAAGGTCTTCCGGGCCTCCGAGGCGCAGATCCTGAGCGCAGCAGAGAAGATGCTGGATGCCCGCACGACCAGGAACAGAGAGCTGGGGGCGAAGGAAAGCAATGTGCTGGAAGAGTATGCCGTGCTAGATGACGTGCAGGACCTCATCTACTTCGTCAGGTACAAGCACTTGGCCGAGGAAGAGCCCGTCCCGCTGAGCACGGCCCCGACTCTGGAGGACTGCTGGAGGGGACCTGCCCAAGGTAGAGTCCTGCCTCAGCCTCCTGGGGTGGGGCAGGTGCGGGGCGGCGGGGGGTCTGTAATGTTCTGTTCAGAGTCCCTGGCTTACAGGAGGAGGCCCAATGTCCTCTCCTTCCTTCTTTCTTTTAGGCACAAACATGCAGCAACATTTCTTTCTTTTTTTTTTTTTTTGGTACCTGGGATCAAACTCTGGACCTTGTGCTTGCGAGGCAGGTGGCAGAACCACTGAGCTAAATCCCCAGGGAAGAATTTATGTTTTGGTACTGGGGATCAAACTCGGGACCTTGTGCTTGCAAGGCAGGTGGCGGAACCACTGAGCTAAATCCCCCACTTGCAGCGACATTTCTTACTGTCTTCCCTTAGGACAGTTGATACTCATTAGCATTTTTTTTTTTTGGTACTGGGGATCGAACTCTGGGACCTTACGCTTGTGAGGCAGGTGGCAGAACCACTGAGCTAAATCCCCGGCCCCTAGTTAGCATTTTCAAAAGGAAACTTACAAAAACCTAAAGAGAAAGATGAAAGTTATACAGAAAGAAAATGATATTCAAAGTAGACCTGTTAACAGAGTTCACATGCGATTATGAAAAAGCATTCCTGAGCAGTGAACACAGCTTCTTTTTTAACCTTTTGAGGGTCCTGCTGTTTAGTTCAGGCTGGCCTTGAACTCATGGGAATCTTCCTGCCTCAGCCTTCCAGGTGCTGGGATTACAGGTGCGCACCACCACCTCTGGCTGAACAGGGTTCTTAACCCTAAAATAACTGTCCTCTCACCAAGAAGCGACCAGCCTGGCTTCCACACACCCTGGCTTAGCTCCTCCACACTTCGCCTTTTGTGGCTGTCGTGCTCTTTTCTGCCTGTAGAGGGCGGTCGCTTGCTCATTACCTGCCCTGGGCCTGGGGTTCTTCCTTTGCCTTTGTCCAGGGTGGTGACCTTTGCGACCCACAGGCTGATCTGGGATGGAGCCAAGGCGGGCACTTCCCAGGCCCGCACGCAGAAGCCAGGCAGTCAGCACTGGTCAGCGTGACCCCAGCCAGGATGCCGACGTGGCTGTGTGACCCGGTCCAGGGTCTGCTGTCCGTCGCCACTGCTTTTCACACTCAGTGTGTGCACCCAAGGCATGTGCAGAGCCCAGGAGGACAGAAAGCCGCAGGACACTGTCTCCCCAGAGTGCTAATTTTTCCTGAGAACCGGGGGAAGAAAACATTTTTGCCCTTCATCAAAGTGGCTATATTTTGGCCAGGTGTGGTGGCTCATGCCAGTAATCCCAGCACTAGGGAGGCTGAGGCAGGAAGATCACGCAGAGATCGAGGCCAGCCTCAGCTACATAGTGAGTTCAAGACCACCCTGAATACATGGGAGACCCTGTCTCAAAAACAAACAGACAGGGGCCGGGGATTTAGCTCAGTGGTTTTGCTGCCTGCTGCGCAAGCACAAGGACCCGAGTTTGATCCCCAGTACCAAAAAACAAACAGACAAAAAAGAGTGGATGTGTTTTGGATAAGAGTCCAATACCCTGGGCCGGGGATGTAGCTCAGTGGCGCCATGCCTGTGTGGCAAGTGCAAGGCCCCGAGTTCGATCCCTGGTACTGAGGACAAAAAGAAAAAGAGTAAAAGCCAAGTGAAATAGCAGGTTGCAAAGAACTAATGCTGGCCTGGCGAGGGTGCTGCTGGCTGAGCCCTGAGGCTCTGGCAGGCGATGGGTTTGCATCCAGCTCTCAGAGTGCTCAGAGCTGCCTTCCTCCAAGGCCGCCCCTCCCGGAAGGCCGAGCCTGAGCCCACATTCCTTCAGATTCTCTCCTTTGCTCTTACTGGTGTGGGTACCTGCTGCTTTCCAAGGGCAGTCATCTTACTGAGGGCCCTCCCACGGAGGCGTGTGGGAAACCTGCAGCGAACGGCTCCTTCATGCACTTGACAGTGTAGATGGCTGTCCTTTGTGTGGACTAAGGAAAGCTCTGCTTCCACCGGCTGTGCTTGTGGGGCTGCCGGGCAGCCAGCTGTATCCAGCAGCTGAGTGGTTCCTCTCCCCTCAGAGACGCAGCCGCCCCCTAGCGATCTGTTCCCTCGAGAGAACACGGAAGATGCTGGCACGAAGCTCCCGGAAGAGCCCAGCCCCTGGGGCCAGCCGGCGACCAGGGTAGCAGGCGGCTCCGCCGAGGAACAGACACCGAATCCCAAGGAGGACGAAGCCCCAGGTAGAGCTTGTTGACCATCCCGCCCAGCAGAAGCATCTTCACAACGCCTTGCAGGACATTGCTGCTGAAGGCAGGAGTCGGGGAGAATAATGCAGAGAAGTAGAGCTGAAGGCTGGAACCCCAGGCTGACGAGAGCAGAGTCCAGACAGGTGGGGCAAAAACAGGAGAGGCCAGACCTGGCTAATCTAGCGGCGTTTGGCTGCGAGGAGCCTCGTGAGGCATCTCCATCTGGGGTATTCCTGCAGAGCCCTTGTGCTCCGAGAGGTTCCTGCTGGGGCTGCCAGGCAGCTCGGATGGGGGTTCTGGAGCTTTTCTCCCTGTAACTGTCCTCAGGGAAACCCATATTCCAGGCCACTCGGTGAATATTTAAACTTAACAGACACAGTTCTCCTGTAGCCTAAAGCTGAGTGCCCATTTTCCCCAGTTTTAGGGGTGATTACGACAGAAGGCCCCGAAGCTGACCCAGGAGGTACTACGGAGAGCCAGCAAGAGATGAACAGGCAGGAGCCGGCCCACACCAGCCCTTTGGAAAGCGTAGTCCCGAAGCATAGTTCATTCATGCCTTACCTCAGCAAGATGGTGAGTTGATGCCTGCCAGCCTGTCTTTGGCATTGTCATTTTTAGGTGGATTTTGAGCTTCATGTGGAGAACTTAGGGTGTCTTTATGGAAACACTGCCAGACCCTCTGCAATAGCTCAGAAGAGGCCAGGGCATGCACCATCCCAGGGTCTCCTGACCACTGAGGCGGCTTTCTGTCTGCTGGGCCGCAGGTGCGCACTGGGAGATGCAGCTCTTCCCGGGCCACCACCATCAGACTGGCAGGGGACAGAGGCATCTGTCGGTGCAGCAAGGTGCAGGCAGGGAGGGAGCACTGCGTGGGGGAGCCTGGAGTGCTGTCAGGTAGCTCCCTGAGCCTGGGGTGACAAGGGGGTGAGGAGCTGGGCCCTGCTTCGAGCAGCCCAGGACGGACGGGAGTCTTGACGGGAAGTTTGCTGCTGGACAGATGGGCCGGCCGACAGAAGAGAACACGTTTGGGGGTGGAGAGCACAGGAAAGGGGATTTGGGCAGCCAGGGACGTGTGAACAGTTGGCACTGGTGAGTGTGGACTTGGGGCCCAGCCACATCATAAAGGAAGCCCTGTGCCAGCGCAGGATACCGCTGCCAGTGTGGGATCCTTCGACGGTCTGAAGCAAGCCAGGGCTTGGGCAGATCTGTCTCTTAGAAAGACTCCCTGAGCGGATGACCTGTACTGACCTCTGGAGTCCCGATGGGGACGCAGCGCCCCCTGGTGGTGTCTATGGACAGCAGGCTCTGGACCAGTGGCGGGGCTGAGAGAGCTGACAGAAGCTGGCACTCACTGACCCGGCCAGGCTGGAGAAAGTGTCCTCCTCAACCAAAGCAGGTCCCATCGGTTATGATAGTCCAAGGCTTATGCAGGAAGGGGGTTTTGAGCCATAAATCCCAGAGTCATCACTTAGAAGATGGGAAATTACTAGCCGTGGCTGACCGGTCCTCAGGGATCTGGGGCTGGAGGAGACCCTGGCCCACTCACCCGTTCCTCACTGTGCGGCAGTCGCTCTGCCCCAGCCCTGCATCACAGCTATGAGCCTGTGACCGAAGTCCCCGGCGGAGCCCACCACAGGGCACCGGCTTGCTGCTGGCAGATCCTCTCTGCGACCTCCCTAGTACAGCCTCACTCCTCTTCTGCAGAGTAACCCCTTAGATATTTGAGGTTACACTTTCATTTTTAAGCTACTTCTGGGTATTTTATTATAGAAAGCTTCAAATAAGCAAGAGCAGAGAGAATAAATAGTAGGGTGGTGGTAGATGATAATGTAATATAAATTTCAAAATACTGCAGGTAGAAATTTTCAAAGTTTTACTCTATGGAAATGATAGATGTTTGAAGAGATAGGCATGTTTGATCTGATTTAAATGTTAAACTGTGTACACGTAGTGAGACAGCATGTTACTACCCTTGAAATATGTAGTTTTATGTTTTTATGTACTAGCTAAAAATAAATTTAATATTTAAAACTTTCAGAAAAGCAGAGAGAATAGTAGAGTGAACTCAGGGCTCTATCACTGAGCTTAACAGTGATTCCTTAACATTTGGTCTAAAATCCCATCCCTTACATTTTAAAATGTTCAAATCAGGTTCTTGTTGAGGTGCAAATGTCATCATTGGTTGATATGTATCTCAAGTCAAATTTAATCAGACATAAATTGCATATAAGGTACCCATCTTAGGAATACAGCTCAGTGAGTGTGTTAACAAATGCACACGCCCATGTAAACACTACTGCAGCCATGTAGAGAGAACATTGTCTTCATTCACAGATTTCTATTCAGGAGCTTTCCTAGTAACAGCCCCCAACCCGCTCCAGGCCACCACTGACGAAACTTCTTTTAAGTTATCGATCAGTTACTCTAGAATATCACCTGTGTGACCCTGTGGAAGGACTCACACCAAGGAGGAGAGTGGCCCCTGACGTGGTCAGGGTGCCTAGCCACCCTCCGAGGGCTGGTGGTCTCTGACCTCTGCTGGCCACCTCGAGAGTGGCCTCTCTTTGTGAGCTGCTTGTTTCCAGATGGTTAATGACATAGAGTGCATTTGCAGGCCCTTGGGGGCTGTGCCTTTCCCGTGTCCCCTCCCTCTGGCTGGCTGCCATACAGCTGTCCCCACCAGGGTCAGCTCCGGGAACCTGCCAGTGGGCAGGTGCTCTGTTCCCCTTCTGCAGTTCTTCCCTTCACTCCTCAGTCTCGCCCTGCACAGGGACTGCCTCTGCTCAGCCCTACCTGCGGGAGTCCCCGAAGACTCCCAGAGCAACTTCTCGGTCACTGCCCTCTCTCTGGGCCCCTTTGCCCGGTCCCACAGCTGGGTCTGTGGTGAGACTAGTGGCCAGGTCCCCTTTCATGGCAAGGTCTGGCGAGGAAGCCCACCCTCTTGTCCTTCCTGCTGTGTGAACTGGCTGCAGTTCTCCAGCTGAAAAGCAGTCTTTCTGTGTATTCTGTCCATTGTCTGTCCCTTTCATTGGCGGGGCCAAGTCACATACCAGTTACTGTGTCTGTGGGCTTCTTCTGTTGCTTCGATATCCTCATTGAGGAAAATGTTTGTTAGCTTCTAGGGCAAAGTGTGGTCCAGGTTTTGTGACCGACAGCTCCCTTGTATGACTTAACCTACTTCTCTGCTTCTCTTTTTTCACTTCTGTGCTTTTCTCTTGCTTGAATCCCCTCTCTCCTCCCTCCTCCCCTCTCCTCCTCCCTTCCTTCTTGGCTTTCTTTTATGCTGGGAATAGAACCCAGGCCTCACACATTCTAGGCAAGTGTTAACCACTGAGCTATACCCCCAGCTCACCTCTGGTTCTTCACATTTCTTGGGAATGGATAGTCAGATTTGTAGTCAGATTTGGCTCAGTTCTGCTCAGTAGGAAATGTTGTATCCTTCTACCAGGAGACATTTAGACATCTAACACTAGTATGTCCTTCTTTTTGATGTCATTAGTCACTGGTACCATTGATGAAATCCGCTAACATCTCACAGGTAGCACAGTGGTGATAGATCAACATAGAATCAACTTTTCTTTACACTGAGACTTGGTTTGTATAGTGAAGGCAGGATAATTACATGATTCTTTATTTAAACAATTTTTAAAATAGTGAGCTCCCTTCCTGGCCTTATCCAATGATGCCCTCAGGAGCTTTTAAAAAGCTTTTTTTCTCTTATCTAAGAGTTGTTACAATGTCATAGATTTAAAACCAGTGTGTTTCAGTCCAATCAAGAATAACAATTAGGGGCTGGGGGAGTCCCTCAGTGGTAGAGCTCACGCCCAGTATGTGCAAGGCCCTGGAGTCCATCTTCAGCACTGGAACACACGAAGACAATTGCCCTTCTTTTTTTTGGTACTGGGGATCAAACTCAGGTCCTTGCGCTTACAGGGCAGGTGGCAGAACCACTGAGCTACATCCCCGCCCCGACGCCTTGCATTTTTACTGCCTGTCTCAGTGTACACAGCTACTGCCGCGCTGCCACAATTGCCCGTGGTATGTGCTGATCCCGTGTGCCAGGGCTCTGGCCTCCGCTGAGACCACGGCACAGTCAGCCAGGATGTGCTTCTCACCAAGTGGCGCAGGACAGTATTTGCCTGTTTGCAGTGTAGTCCTACAACAGTATTAAAGGTCCACACTACCACCAGGAGGATGCTCTTGGAAATGTTTTAAGGATTTTCAGTAAGCTGTAGCCCAGGTGTGCCGGAGACCATTCATCTTTGTGGTTTTGCCACCGACTGGATACACAGGTTGTTTCCTTTTTCCTTTCAGTATTTAGGCGCAGTTTCCTAAGACTTCTTAACCTTACGATTATCTAACATACCTGTGTGATCCAAACTGGGAATGACGTCTGTTGGGAGAACTCTAGCTTTGGCGGCAGTGATGTTGCCCTCCTTTGTAACAACAGGTCTTTTATTGATGGACATTTTGTTGCCAGTCTTTTGTTGTTACAAATAATTGTGGAATTACAAAATTTTATAAATGTATCCTTCCAACATTTGTTTCTGTATCTTATCTTTGAAATACATTTTTACAAGTGGGCCCAGCTGTGGTTCGGTGGTGGAGGCTTGCCTAGCACGTGCGAGGCCCTAGATTCCATCCCCACCAAAGAAAAAGTGGGATTGAGTCGGTAGGTAAATCCGTAGGCAGTTTCAGGCGAAGCTGGCAGTTGTCACAGGAGTTGTGTCATTCTCTACAGGAATCGGCGGGGAGCTGCCCCGCATTCCCTGGCCAGGGCTCATGGTGTCCACGGTCCAGGGCGTTCAGGGCTTGGGTCTTGCAAGTGGAAGGCACACGGAACTGGATCTCAGCGTGGGTTTGTTAAGGACGAGCTACGCAGAGCATGCTTCCATGTGGCACCGATACTTCATTTCTTTTCCAGCGACTTCACTCTCTTTCTGTTTTGTTTTTGTAGGCAGGGGCTGGGCAAGTTTGTTGTTGTTGCTGTTTTATGTTATTTTTAAGATTTACAAACCTTTGAGGCGGGGGGGGGGGGGGGGGGGGGGTGGCTCAGTTCCGGGTAACCGGAAAAAAAAGAGAAGGATTTACAAACCTTTTTCCCTCTTCGCTTCTTGATTTTTGAGACGTAATCAGGAAAAATATGCCCACTCGGTACACAGAAAAATTCCCTCAATGCTTTTTCTACGTAGTTGTTTCGTCTTCTGCGTCCAGGTTTCCGATCCTCTGTAACTCGCCCTGTGAGTAAAGAAGGAGGGCTGCGGTTCCCGGCTCCGGCCGCGTTTGTGCGGACGCTCCGCCCCCCGTCCCCGCGGGGACCCCGCCGCACCCCTGCTCTGCGCCCTGGCCCTGGGGAGCAGCCCCGCCCTCCCGGGCGAAGGCGCAGCCGCAGCCGCGTCCGCCGGCTACGTAGCCGTGCGCGCGGCTGGGCGCTGGGTGGCCCGGCGTCGGCGTGTGGCCGCGGGCCCGGGCCCCGCCCCCGGCCTCGCTCATTGGGCCCTCCTGGCCCAGCTCCGCGCGGCCCCTGGGGTTCGCCCCGCCCCTCCCCCTGCGCAGGCGCGAGGCGGCGTCGCCCTGGAGACCGTCCGTAGCGCGTTTACGGCTCCGGGAGCGGAGCGGAAGGCGCGGTCGTGCGGCCCCGCCCCCTGTCGGCTCCTGGAAGGCGGCCTCTTCGGGACGGGGTGAGGCCGGGCCCGCAGGGAGCGAGCTTCGCTCGCGATGGACGCCGTGCTGGCCTCTGCGCCCGCGGTCGCCGTGTCCCCGGGAGACCCGGAGCTGCTGGGGCCCCTGTCGGTGTTGTACGCTGCCCTCGTGGCCCGGCTTCTGGAGGTGACGGCCGGGCGGGGCGGGGCGGCCCGGGGCGAGGGCGGCGAGCGGCTCCTCCGGGTAGGCCGCCTGAACTGCGCGCTCGGCCTCGTTTCGAAAAAGTGGAACTTGGCTAAGACTTAATGTCTTAGAGGAATACGCGCAGTTTGTGTTTCTCGGTGTCACAGTGGTTTTATTTGCAGCCGTACAAGTCGATTGCTTCTGTCGTGTATTTAAATTTTATCCGGTGTACTGGTTTTTTTTTTTTTAAGTAATAAACACCAAGTTACCTAAGCAAGATCCAGAGGGATTCTAGCCATTGTTAGACGTGGAAAGGCCTAACGCCAGCTGCAAATATAGGCTCGAGTTTGAGATGTTCAGACTCATTAAGCTTAAATACACCAGAAGCCAAACAAGGATGTGAGACTGCCAGGATCCTCTTATGAAAGGGGAGTTGGAAGTGGGTTTAGAATATCGATGATGATTGTCTGTGATTCCTTTATTGTCCTTTTAAACTTTACCATTCTTTCCCCCTTATCTATGTCAGCTAGTTGCTACTCTGCCTGAGGACGCTCAGCCTGGACCTGATTTTTATGGACTACCCTGGAAGCCTGTGCTTCTAACTGCCGTGTTGGGAATCATTTCATTTGCCATTTTCTTCTGGAGAACTGTTCTTGCTGTAAGTAAATTAACTTATACTTTGACTTATAAATACATCGAGTATTTTATAATCCTTGGCCCTTTTGTTTTTCATTTAGTAACATAAACAAATTAATGTTATAATTCAGGCTAATTTCCTGAATCTAGTGTAATCTTGGTGTTGGTACAGACTTAAGAGACCAAGATGACCATGTCCACTGTTAGTAGACTTGAGGATTCTTATAGCCGTCCTGAAAAACAGTTTAATAATTATATGTATCACAAGCTTTTTAAATGGGATAAAAAACAGGATAGGAAATATCAATCCCTTTTATTTGGTGTATCGGTAATCTATACTGAAGAAATTATGTGTTAAAGATTTTGTACAGGGGTGTTTGATGGAATATTATTTAATAGAGTGAAAACTTGGCACAACCTAAGTAATGTACATTAGGGAATTGTATTGTCCCATTTATGTCCACACAATGGGCTGTTAGGCTGCTGTGTATTTCACAGGCAGAAGGCCCAGAGCATGCTCACTCACACCTCAATGTGAAGTGGGGAAAGGGGAAACAGGGCCGTGATTTAGCTCAGTGGTGCCGCCAAGCGGGACAGACTGTGAAGTGTTGCTAGACTGTGGTACAAAACACGTACATATCACAGGGAAAGAGGCCCCAGAGAAATGCAGTAAAAAGGAAGAAACATCTAGGTGATGCGAGGCCTAGTGGTGTGTGTCTGCCTGCAGCCGCAGCATCAAGGGAGCCTGAGGCGGGAGGATTCCAAGTTTGAGCGCAGCCTGGGCAACTTGGTGACTTAGCAAGAGCCTGTCTCAAAATAAAAAATAATGGGAGGGGCCGGGGATTTAGCTCAGTGGTTTCGCCACCTGCTGCACAAGCGCAAGGACCCAAGTTTGATTGATCCCCGGTACCAAAATCATCATCATCATCATCATCATCATCATCATCATCATCATCATCATCATCATCATCATCATCATCATCATCATCATCATCATCATGGGAAGGCTGAGGATGTAGCTCAGTGTGAAGGCTCCGGGGTCAGTCCTCAGTACCACAACAAACAAAACCAAAACAATGCCTTCTTAAAAAGAAGCGTCCTTTTACCTGGATTCTTAGGAAGAGTTTTCTGTTTTTGTTTTGTTTTGTTTTGTTTTGTTGCTACCAGGGATCAGACTCGGGTCCTTGCCCTTGCGCAACAGGCGGCGAAACCACTGAGCTAAATCTGTGGCCCTTGTGAAGAGTCTTCTAATCTCACTGAACGTTTCTTGAATAAAAGGGAAGAGTCTGGAAGGCCAAGTGGAAGTGTGTGTGGTGTGAAGAGGTGTCCTGTTTCCCCTGCTCCTCCCCTGAAGCTGTTCCCCCGCAGGGCTCCCGGTTTCCTCGCAGCTGCTGCTGCTGCTGGCGCTGGCCACTGGCCACTGGGCCTCTGTGCTGACAGCTGGCACCTGAGCTCTCTTCCCACTGTCCCCTGCTAGTGGCCTGGGTCCTCGGGGTAGGAGCAGTCACTTCTATAATGGGAGGCAAGGACGTTTGTCCCCACGCTGTGGTCAGGGGCTGACCAGTGGGCTGACCTCAGGTCCCCTCACTGTCTGGAACACTCGGAAGGAGAGACAGCGTCTGAGTTACAGAGGATTTAGCTTCGGTGTTTAATTAGTCACAGTTCAGGTTTTATTACCCCAGAAGTCGCCCTTGCCCTGGGAAGTGCTCAGTCGTTGCCCTTCCTGGACGTCGTTAGCTGTGGTCTCTCTTCCCCTGACGTCTTCCCTTCCACTCAGATTTACTACTAACTGTTTTTGTGGTCTGGGGAGACCAGATGATGTAGCATATGAGATTATTTCAAAATTGAGCGAAGAGAGCTTGGAGTAGGGTGTCTGAGGTGTCTGCCGGTGAGTGGAAGAGGCATAGCTTCGGCAGAGATTATGCTGTTGATCTTGCTCCCCAGTCCTTCCGTACAGTCCTCATTTCTAGACTTCATGCTGGCTGTTTGGGGTTGTCAAGTAAATAATTCTGAATAAATAGTCAGGGTGCGTGTTATAAAAACAGTAAGCATTTCTTTATTAGAGGTAGTGGTCATCTCAAGCCTGGTGCTCTCTTGATACTGGCAGAGAAGCATATGTGTAGCTGAGAAGGAAGACACACACCTTAATGTTCCTCTGTATCAGAGGCTGTTGATAACATATCACGAATGATCTGAAATGCTTTTTAATCTTTCCTTATTTTCTAATCATATGGATTTATCCTGAACCAGTTATTAAATTTTCATTTGGTTATGATTCTGACTGTTATATTAGGAAACTGTATATTTTTATTAATCAAATATTTGACGTCAAGTTTAATTTTCTTTCCCTTCTAGGTAAGGGAGAGAATCTATCAAGGTAAGTCCTTAGGCTTACTTGTGGGAACCGTCTATCTGTCTCAGTTTGGGAGGAGCTCTAGGTAGCTAGGAGGAGGAGGTGCAGTGACTTTTGGCATCTGATTGACTTCTTAGCGGCCCCACATTGGGCTGCCCCCCTGGCAGTCTAGAGGACGCTGACTGTACCCGCTGAGGCAGGCTGAGGGGCAGCAGCTGTGGGCAGAGGGAGGTGATTCGTGTGCCCGGAGCAGACTGACCTCATGCTGCTGTAATGTGGAAGCATCATGAGGGGCAGTGTTCCTGTGCCAGTTATTCCATCCCACACTAAACATTTCTTTGAGTAGGTAATGTGCAAAATAGTAATTAAATTGGTATGCTTGTATTTTCTCTTTTTATTTGCAAATGGCATCTATTCGAAGTGATTCCATTTTCTGAGCGTGTTTCGTGAAGGGAGGACTATCAAGCTATATAACATTTTACTGTATTTCCTACTTTTTGAAATAAAATTGCCGTCTCATTGAAGCAAGTGTCACTATATTTTTCTTATTTTTTTTTGTTGCTTAAATTCTTTTATTGGTACATTGTAGGTATACAATACGTTTACATTTGTCATTGGGTGCTTGTACCTGTACATGATGTATCTTGCTTCTTATTTTTTTCTCATTCCCTGTGCACCCTTCACCCCCCTCCACCCTTTTTACATAGACTTTGTTTCCATTTTTTTCTTTTCTCATAATTTTTCCTTTCCCTTTCCTTTCCCCATCTCCTCCCATCACCCCAACCCCTTGGGACTTTTCTTCCTATTTCAGATTATCAATTATTCATTTTAATCATTTTAATCCCTATTTACACTTTCAGTTTCTTACACTAGAGAAACTATTTGGTATTTACACATGTGGGTCCTATTTCACTTAAGAGTATGGCCTTAATGTGCATCCATTTAGCTATAAATGTCTCCAGTTTCTCGTTCTTTATGGCTGAGTAGTACTCCATTTTATTAAAAAAACCACATCTTCTTTATCCAGTTTCCAGTTGATGGGCACTTGGGCTGTTTCCAAGCTTTAGCTATTACAAACTGTGCCTCTATAAACATGGTTGCACATATATCGCTGTGGTATGATTCTTTTAATTCTTTGGGGCAGATACCTAGTAGGGGAATAGCTGGGTCAAATGGGACCTCTGGCCCTAGTTTTTTGAGGTATCTCCATACTGATTTCCACGGTGGTTGCACCAGTCTGCACTCCCACCACCAATGGAGAAGGGTTCCTTTCTCCCCACAGCCCCGCCAGCATTTGTTATTGGTTGATTTCTTGATAGCAGCCATTCTTTCTGGGGTGAGGTGGAATCTCATTGTTGTTTTCATCTGTATCTCTCGAGTGACCAGTGATGTTGAACATTTTTTCAAACGTTTATTTGCTGCTTTTACTTTGTCTGAGAAATGTCTGTTCATTTCAGATGCCCATTTTTGAATTGGGTCTTTGAATTGGGGGGGGGGTCTGATTTTTTTCAGTTCTTTATATATTCTGAGGTACAACTGTCTGAGGTACAGCTGCTAAAATTTTTTTCTCACCTTGTAGGTTGTCTGTTAGCTCTGTTGGTGGTTTCTCTTGCAGTGCAGAAGCTTTTTAATAAGATGAGATCCCAGTTACTGATTCTTTGTGCTAGTTCCCGTGCTACTGACGTTTTGTTCATGAAGTCTTTTCCTATGCCAATGTCTTGAAGAGTTCTACCTAACTTATCTTTCAGCAAGTTTAGTGTTTCTGTTTTAATATTTAGATCTTTAATCCACTTCGATCTTAGTTTCATGCATGGTGATAGATATGGGTCTAGTTTTAAGATGAGGTGGCTAAGTATATCTGTAGTTGTTTCTGCATCTTCTAATCCATTCCACTGATCCTTGGGCCTGTTTCTTTGCCAGTACCGTGATGTTTTTATCACAGTAGCTTTGTAGTATAGTTTCAGGTTGGGGATTGTGATATCTTCTGGCATGTCTTTGATGCCTAGAATTGCTTTTGCTATTCTAGATCTCTTCTGGTTCCAAATGAATTTTTGGATTGTTTTCTTTAGTTCAATGAAGTATACTGTTGGAATTTCAGTTGGCATTGCATTAAATCTATATAGTAGTTTTGGAAGTATAACCATTTCCACTATATTGGTTCTTCCTACCCAGGAACGAGGGATGTCTTTCGATTTTCTTATATCCTCCTTGATCTCTTTATTTCAGAGTGCTATAGTTTTCAGCATAGAGGTCTTTTGCTTCCTTTGTTAGGTTGATTCCCAGATATTTCCTTATTTTTGGATGCTATTGTAAAAGGAATTGTTTCCCTAATTTTCTCTCAGTGAGTTGTTATTTGTGTACAAGAACGCTATTGTTTTTTGAGTGTTGACCTTGTATCCAGCTACTCTACTGAATCTGTCAATTAAGTCTAGAAGTCTTTTGGCAGAGTTTTTTGGGTCTTCTATGTAAAGTATCATATCATCAGCAAATAACGACAGTTTCACTTCTTCCTTTCCCATCTTTATTCCTTTTATTTCTTTCTCTTTTCTAATTGCTGTGGCTAATGTTTCCAGAACTATATTGAACAGGAGTGGTGATAGTGGGCGTCACTATATTTTTCTTAAATTTTAATACTATCTTATACACTGCTGCTGTTAGCTGCTGATTTCTTTGTAAAGGCCTGATGGTTGTGCTAGGTCTTGTTTCTCACTGTACCACACAGGGTGTCTGCTCTGCTACATTGAGCGGCTTGGTTTCATTTAGTGCTTATAATAATCTTCTGGATTTTTCCTCTTTTTAGTCACTGAACAGCAGATTGCTGAAAAGGTGAAGAATACCACAAAGGCAAATACAGAGCTTGTACAGAAATTGTCAGATTATGAACAGAAGGTATAGTCATTGCTCCGGGTTTTCCCCTGGTCCCAGCTTGACTTACGTCGGCTGTGGTGTAGCTCACTGAGCAGGGTGTCTTTGAGTCGCATTTTCTTACTTCAGTATTTCCTGCGAGCCCTATAGCTCTTAAGCGCCATCTCCTGTATAAAGTCCTGCTTTCTCTCTGAGGGGTTGCCTAAAGAAGTTTTAACAGCACTGTGATTTATAGTCCTTAGTTCTGAATGCTCTATTTTACATAGATCAAGGAATCAAAGAAGCTTGTTCAGGATACCAAGAAAGAAAATATGATTCTCTCCGAGGAAGCAATTAAATATAAGGTAAAAATCCTTCTCTTTTGGGAATTATATTCTAGAAGCAAAAGCAAGTGTAATGACTATTGCTACTCTTAACACCTTTTCTTCTAGGATAAAATCAAAGTACTTGAAGGAAATAGTGAAATTCTGGGTGACACAGCTAAAAATCTTCGTGTTATGTTAGAATCTGAGCAAGAAAAGAATGTGAAAAATCAGGATTTGGTAAGAGTTTTGCTGCTGTTACTATAATTTGATTTCTGAACTATTTGTAAATTAGTTGAACTTTTCCCATGCTGTTAACTAAAGATTAGGAATAACAGAATTGAACGTGCTTGTCCCCATTTTGTGAGATTTTCAGTACTAATCCAATAGGATATTTTTATGGGCCTGGGAAGTGTTTTGATCGTCAAGCCTGGATAATTTTCATATTGCTTTGCTGTATCCTCTGAGACACACAGAAGCGCTGACAGACTATGGTCCAGTTGAATAGTCTGTGTACAATGTTTGATTTGATTTTGCAGAGTTCTTTTTTTTGCTAGACTTTATATCTTTAGAATAGTTTTAGAGTTACATAAAAGTTGTAAACATAATAGGAGGGCTCTCACATTTCCCACCCCTTGCTGCGCTTGATCCCCTGCTGAACTCTCACACCTGGTGAGTGAGCATTCCAAACCCTTTGCACGCCACACTTTTTGGAAGGAAGTTATGGCACACAACCTGCAGTTAAAGGGCGGAGACTTAGGGTCGCTTGAGGAGCCAATATCTTCATAAATATTTTGAAATTCTGCACATGACATCTGTCTGTCCTCCCTGAAATTCTATTATTTTTAATTCAGGCATGAGTATTTTTATTTTTTAAAAAATTT